TTTATTTTTCAGTTATTATGCAATCACCTCTATATGCACTATGCAAACAAATCATGAAAAAAATATTTTTTGTAATAAAATTAAAATATGTTATAGTAGGTGTTTCACTTTTAGTGTATGATTTGTTTTTTTTCTGGTTCTAAAATGGCAACCACCCCCTTCCCAAAAGGAATATTTCTGGGGGAGCAAGGGGAAGGCCTTCTAGAGGCAAAAGTCAGGGGTTAGGGGTGGGACTTCCAGTCCCAAGTTAGTGACCAGCAGGCAGGGCACCTGTCAAGGGGCAGGGATACCCATGTGGCCCTCCACAGCTCACCAACACTCATTTAGCAGCCCTCCAGCCAAAATAATTGCCCGCCCATTTTTAAATCAATTGAAAGCCATAGAATCACTGTAACTACATCTATAATTTAAAGATCAGAAAAAGGGGTGCAAGAATGCTTAACCTTATTATTACAAATCCCAGTAATACAATACCAACAGTGTTATTTTTACACATGAAACAAATTTTTCATTTCCCCAAGTAAGAAAACGAGGGTTGTGATGGTAAGGAAGAAATTCTAAGTTCATCCTTAAAAAATGTTTTACTTGCAAACCACACACACCTTTCCCCAAAAAGTTAGCTTTCCAAAACTGGGGCGTGTGTCTTCAGCGGGGAAGCTGAAAGGAGATGCTATAAGATGCTTCTTTTCCTTCTTTTCCCTCCACTAGCTGCATGGGGGAGGGGCAGAATCCATCCGGAGAGAACAAGCGGGCTACTGGGGAGTGTGCAGCAGTGAGGTTATACCTCACTGCTTTGATTCTACTTCTACACAAAGTTTAAAAAGAAACTGTCCTGCAGAAGCAGTAGCATTTTTATGCAGGCAGAGCTGAGGGCAGGGGCAACATGTAGGGGGTGCACATGCACCCTGTGCATGGCAGTACACCCCCTACATAACAAGCACCGCCAGCGGCATCTGCAGGTGGTTCATGATTCCAGCTGGATACTACCAATGCTGCCGGCGGCTGCAGGTGGTTGCCAACCCTTGGTCAGCGCTTGCCACCTCTCCCCCAGCGACTGACAGTACCAGCGGCATCTGCAGGAGCTCCCTACTCAGTGCTGCCATGCGACCCCAGCCACCAGGGACAAAAGCCATGAATGGCTAAGGGAGATTATAAATATAATCCCAGATTATAAATATAAAATTTGGCACTTGGGACAAAATAACTGCAGGCACAAATACAGACTGGGCAATGGCTGACTAAGCTGTAGTACTGTAGAGAAGGACCTGCAGGGTTACAATGGACCACATGCTGAATGTGAGTCCATAGTGTGCTCTTGTTGAGAAAAAAAGAAAAGCCAACAGCGTACTGAGTTGTATTAACAAGAATGTCACTTGCAAATCAAGACAAGTGATTCTTCTGCACTATTCAGCACAGAGGCCTCTCCTGGAGGACTATGCCAGCTTTGGACCCCATACTTCAAGAAAGCCAAGGACATATTGGAAAGAGTGCAGTAGAGAGCAAGAAAAAAATTTAGAGGCCTGGAAAGCAGGCCTTATGAGAAAAGGTTGAAATAACTAGGGTTGTTTAGCCTGAAGAGAAGAATGAGGGGTGATATAGTAACAGTCTACAAATACCTGAAGTTAAATAATAAAGAGGATAGTAATAAACTGACAGCCCTAAAAAATACCTGCACCCTGCCACTGCCTCCCTTCCAGCAGCAGGGACAGGCCATGAATTTCTCATCAGGGAAAATGACCACAGAAAACACAGAAGGGCCCTTCTATTCAAACTGTATCTGGTATATGTAACACAGTTCTATGCTCTGATCTTACAGATTTATGTATTGATGTAAGAGGAGATTTCTGATTTTATGTACATATAAATTCACATGATCTTTAATTCATTTTTAAAAAGTGTTCCATTGTGATAAAGCTAGCTACTTACCTAATTCTCTTAAAGATGACCTGAGTTACAGAAAAAAGGCAGATAATTAAAACTAAAATATAGAACGGCAATACAGATGATTGGGTCAGTCTCAAAAAAAGGTCTTGGGAAGGTGCCTGAAGGGATTCTTGACAAAGGAGCCAATTCATTGTAAAGTTCCTGGTAAGGCAAAAAGATCACATTTAAAATAATAAACAGTTAGTTAGCCTGTTCACAGTAATCTCAAATTATTTCAGAATCATAACAAAATATGTGCAGACAGAAAATGTTTTTGCAAATATGTTTTAGAAAGTGTCACACATTTGTTCTTGAAAAAGTATCTTCTGTGATCCAAAAGACATCATTATATTACATTTTAAAAGCACTTCTACATCAAGAACCCATTTTAAAAGTATCATTGTGGGGGTGACAAAACCCTTATGTGGATATCTATAAAACACGCCAAAGAGAGTTCTGAGAAAAGGAGGCATGTTTATTTAAAAAGGAGAAAAAAAAAAAAAAGTCGAAAGTTGTGCTGCCTTGCCTACACAGATCACATTGGAAGCCCAGCGCAAAGCCAAAAAAGAAATTCCCAAATTTTAATCCTGTATCTTAACTCCTTGGCTGTTCACCCTTCTCCTCACAAAAGAATTCAGGTAAAAAAAAAAAAAAAAAAAGAGAAAATATGGTCTTTAAGTATTGCCAGAAGTCTTTCATCTTCCACTAAAATGCAAAACTGGTGAGGTAGGTGGTGCACTAAATGTGTCCAACTCTTTATCTCATGTACCTTTGCAAAGACTTTCATCTCAGTCCTCTTCCATCTTCTTTCTGAATCTACACTATACAGAACCAGGAGAGCTGAAACAGCAAGAATGAGCAAACCCTTACACTGTAGTACCATGTCCACTCTAGGGCGAGGTACAGACATTACACTTTTACTGGTATAAGTGATCAGAAACCAGTCTAAACCCATAACAAAACAGAAGTTCAACATACATACACTGGTTTAAAAATGGTGGAACCCAGTCTAAGATAGGCAGATAATGTGCCCCTCTCACCAAAGGGCAAATGTGTATTCAGTTTACTACCAATCTAAACTACAGTGCTTACAGAAAACTGCGCAACTTAGATCGATTCTGCCTCGGGCTTTCTGAATGTCTGTACCTAGCCAAAGAGTGATGAGTGATAGCATACAGGGGCCTACAGAAACCCATAACTTTGGGCCTAGAAGAGTTCTAAAAATTTTAGCTGCACTGTCATCCTAGCAGCAATCCCACTACTGCTGACACTGTTCTCAGAAGCAGTGAATTGTGAAAGATTTTGACAGGCCTTCTGAAATGCCTCAAGTGAGCAGAGACCGAACTCCTATCATTCCAATGGAACATTGTCCAGTTCCTTAGGGAAGACTCATCTCTATTCTGCCTTAATAGCAGTCTTAAATGTAGTATTCCATGTCTAGAAAGTAAGTTAATCCCATGACTAAAATAAGCCACAAGTACAAACTTCTGTAAGAGGATGCACAGACATAATTGTATCAATATCAAACAATCCTACATAAGGCTTATGTTGGTAATATTTATACCTGCACACTTCTGTAAATGTGGCTTGGCTCCCAGGATCTCTTGCAGGTCAAGTCCCCAAGTTTTGCAATATCTCATCTAACAAACTGCATTGATAGCATCTACCTTCAAGTGTCTAGTTCTGTGCCCAATTATTGCGGTTAAGGAAACACTTTCCTAAAAACCTAACATTTTCATCTCAACTTACGTTACCATTTTCCAAAACTCTTATTTGGAATAATTCCTTTGGTTTAGCTACTAAAATACTTTGAAGCAATATTAACTGGCAGGAAGACTTCTTTTTCTCAACTATAAAAAGGTTAGCTCCGTGGTTTCACCTCATTATCTTGGCCTCCAACTATTTTCAGCAATATTAGTTAGGGCTGGGATGTTTTCCTTCCTATCCATGGGACTATTTATTTTTTAAAAAATCTGAAACAGAAACTTTTATCCCTGCTGAAATGCCACAGACATCCAAGTTCATCCTGGACATCAAAAGTTTCTAATGTAATTTTTAAAAGTTTGGGGCAAGTAAAAAAATTTCCTTCCTAAATTCTTCTACAATAAACTTTACAAGCTTTTACATTTTAACTCCTGTAGTTTTTAAAGTGATTTTAAATTCTGTGCATTTGAGATACCTGTAAATGGAAAAACTCAAACTTACTTAGTTGTGTTTAATCCAAATTTTACTTCAAGGAACTTCAACAAATGCTCATTTTCTTTATGGGGGACAAACATCTGAAAAAGCAATTTTGTGGAGAAAATTTAACAGTGCCTGGAACACTGCCATCATGTCCTCTTTTTATTCTCTATCCTATTTTGTAATTTCAATGATCACACATTCCAAAATACAGTTAAAACAATCAATAACTCATATAACTTATTTATTATATTTCACAGGCCAGTCAAGCCTTATTTAAAGTAAGTTTTGCTTAGTATACAAGCTTATATACCTCACTTCATTCAGGTACGCCAACCATATGGCAAGTTAAGAGTTGCCAGCCAACTTCCAGAACACTAACCAAGAGCATGGCAAAGACTGGTTTGCTAGCTCAGTGCCCAGTTCTCAAAAGACATGCCAACTGACTTACCTAATCAGCCAGGCCCTGACCTAGCAAAACCACATTGGTCCCTTACCATTCAAATTCTTAATTCACTTTGTTCAATCCAGATAAATTCAGCTCATCCATTCTGCAATATCAGCCAGCTTTTCTATGTACCCAAGAGCATAAGACTTAGGTTTAATGTAGTAGGAAGACAGAATTTGAGTTCTCTCAAACTTCTCAACAAACATAACATTTCCGTGTTGGTTTTCAGGATTTGTTTCTTTCTTCTTTTTTTTTTTTTTTAAGTTTTATGGTAAGTACCACAATCAAGCACAGTTTGGAGTCTGTTCAGGTTTGTCTACCTTGGTTCAGCAGTGGGTCTTGTGGAGAACCACCAGCATATTTTACCCTTCCAAGCCTGTTGACCCAATCCACCCAAATCAGCATTCTTGTCAGCCAAGTCCCAATCCAGCTTCACAGGCAAACTTCCCACTTGAGAGTGCATTACCAGAGTTGTGTGTGCAGGGTGTGCTCAGACCTGCCCTCCCCAAGACCTATCTGATGTGGTATAGACAAGGTCCGAAAGCAGGGGTAAACAGAATACGGCCTGCCAAGCCATTCTATCCAGCCTGTGGGGCCCCTAAAAATTTTGGCAAAATTTTTTTTGTTTGCTCCTGTCTGCCTGTTAAAGATGACAGCAGCCAGGGGGGGTAGGACCCAGGGGGAGCTGGCAGCAGGAAGCAGAAGCCTAGCCCCACCCTCAGCCATTTCCCTGATATTCCTGCTCCTGTCCTGTTCCACTTGGCTCCTGGCTGCCTCGGGGGACTGGAAGCACAGGGACATGCCAGTGGGGGCTGTGGATGGAGTCAGGGCACGTGTGCAAGGCTTCT